AATTACGAACTAAATAACAGGCTAACAACGAAATCAGTACAAGTTAACCAGGACGATTAGTATCACCCAATACGCGGTGCGTTTAATCATAGTTAATGGAGTGGAATGGCTTGGAAACTAATTGTTCTATGTCTTTATCCATTGTCATATGACGTTGACAGTGCACAGTGAAGGAAAATTTTCTCCATTTTTTCACAGTATTAGGGAATATAAAAGTTTTTTACCCTTAAAAATCGTTCTAAAATATGTATTATTTGTTAATTAGTCCTATATGATTGCTTTTTTATTTATCATCTAGTAACTTAACTGTATCTGCGCGGAANAGCTTTGTGCAGGAGAGGTGAATAAAAAAATCTTTGATCGAACCCTGAAACAATTTCTTGGTTGATTTAGTCGGAGCACCAGTAAATAATAATAAAGCGAATAAAACGAGTCTCTATGCTCTTTACAATTATTAATAATCATAATAAATGATTAATAATTATAATTGATACTGAATTATAATCAATAATTACAATAACTAATAATTACTATAATAATTAATAATAAATTATAGATGCAATAGGGATTTAGCTGATATCAAAACAGGGTAGCTTAAAATCATTAAATGTAATATGAAATAGTACGGCAGAAATTACGAACTAAATAACAGGCTAACAACGAAATCAGTACAAGTTAACCAGGACGATTAGTATCACCCAATACGCGGTGCGTTTAATCATAGTTAATGGAGTGGAATGGCTTGGAAACTAATTGTTCTATGTCTTTATCCATTGTCATATGACGTTGACAGTGCACAGTGAAGGAAAATTTTCTCCATTTTTTCACAGTATTAGGGAATATAAAAGTTTTTTACCCTTAAAAATCGTTCTAAAATATGTATTATTTGTTAATTAGTCCTATATGATTGCTTTTTTATTTATCATCTAGTAACTTAACTGTATCTGCGCGGAAATATATATACGCATGGTTTTTTGTCATGGAATAAAAGTTTTTACTTTCAAAGTGTTCATGCATGAAAATAATAAGGAAATGAGTATTTTCAGCCATACTTACTTTGGTTCATTGTGCACCGTCAGTAACACGTGATGGTATGATTCAACATCAAAGGCAAAACAATAGCTTTGTTCTATGGAGTTTCCAAACCATTCCACTCAATTAACTATGGTTTAATACAACTTTACTAAAGGACAATCTAAAGGTGGGGGTAAAAAACAAAGACTTTAGACGTAGTATACAAGGATTTTGAAAACAAAACTAAAAGAAATAACAAAGCCTTACAAATTATAAAATTTCAGACGATTTGTTACTGTTGTCTAGTACATTTGCCACCATTAACTAAAATAAATACACAAGACAGAAATGTGGCAGGTTTCATAATATTTTAACTCTCTCAACTGTTTCCTCTTTAAGCAACCTAAAAATGACTGAAAACAATAGTTTCAATTGCATATAATCACATGGTATTATCGCCTTAAAGCAATAATAATCTACTAAGAATAATCTTTTTATCTGGATGTCTATTCAAGTGTTGTCGGCATAAGAAGGTACTAGAATCTTGAACAACTACACAAAACTCTTCAATGTAGAAGGCACATAAATAAAAGTGACGGTCATTAAATGAAAACGAGCTTTTTTGATCCGACAGGATCAAAACATCTCATGGAGTGTCTCGTGTTTGCATGGACATCTGCTGGGAAACATTTGATGTGTTGTTGAGTTTTAACTGTGTCTCGTTTGAATGATGTGGGGAAAAGTAAATGAAGGCATGGATGGAAGTATGTGACGGTCATTAAATGAAAACGAGCTTTTTCGATCCGACAGGATCAAAACATTCCATAGAGAGTCACGTGTTTGCATGAACATCTGCTGGGTAACGTTTGATTTATTGTATTATGTATGATGTGGAGAAAAGTAAATGAAGGCATGAATGGAAGTATGTGACGGTCATTAAATGAAAACGAGCTTTTTCGATCCGACAGGATCAAAACATTCCAAAGAGAG